CGAGTCTAGAGACATCGATAGTTGATACAATATATGATTAATATTTCAATATATTTACAGCATGAAATACTTCAGACGACGGTTGCTCTTACCACTTGAGACTACGTCAGATTATCACGATTATCTTGATAACCTGTTTTAAAATTAAGGTAAATATATGCAAATTTATATTACGTGTATTATACATATGTAAAGTTTTTGGTAAATATAATTTCCAGCATATATATGTAAGAATCTTTATGTCTCCCATCATGATATAGGAATAATTTAAGATATACATTACCCGCATACGCATATAAATCAGAGTGAAATGGAATTCCTATAAGATGAAGTATATAAAAACGTTTTAATTATTCAATTATTTTTGGCCAATTATTTTAATCTATAGAAAAATTGATTATAAAATGATTTTAAAAGAAACTTCTGAGATTTAAATATTAATTTTTCTTTTTACCTTCTGGCACATTCATCAAGCCTATTATAATATTAAAAACGAGATTAGCATACGTAATTAGACAATAAGTTATTAAAATAAATTAGATTAAAATGAAATATAATTTGGAGCCTTTTTGTATTCACGAAACTGTTTATGCTTATTAACTCCTGCCAAAATCTAAAAAAAAACTTTACTGTGATTGTCTTAACCTGATTTCATTTTAATCTATAGCAATTGTCATGATTGATTATTTGTTTCGCAAGCGAGTTGTTAAAAATTCAGGCGCATATGATTAGATAAATAAACCCTTAATTTTATAATCTAATCATTGACACAAGAATTTTAAACAACCGTAGTTTAGATACCTGCAGCGTGTAGTGAGCTTGCTTGTGCCATTGCGATGTTATTAAGTTGTGCCCTTTCTATGTCAATAGAATCAATAGGTTGCATCCCTATTACGTCAGCAAGTTGTGCCCAAACTCGTTCTTCACCTGCATTATTAAATTGCGCTGCCGCTACATCAATTCCAATTGGCAGTAAGAGATCGTTGCCCTGTAACGTATTTCCAATCGGTAATTCCTCTGAATTAGATTGGAAATAGTTAATTAGGGATGAATGATCTATTTAAAATAGAAAAGATAATGCGTTTGAATCAAGAAATAGGTCTGAAGTATTTCATGCTGTAAATATATTGAAATATTAATCATATATTGTATCAACTATCGATGTCTCTAGACTCG